CCCCCCCTCATCCCACAGCTCAGCTCAAGACACTCTTATTGTATTTCATCCATCCTAGCCTCACCTCTCCTGGGGACAGGGTCCTCAATGACTGAGCTAAGAAAGCACAGGGTCAGCGGGCCCCTCACCTGAGACCAGGAGCTCCAGGGGCTCTCTGGGGAGTGACAGCAGGTAGATGGAGGAACTGTGTGAGCTGTAGCACCTGTAGGTGCCCCCGTGGGCTGAGATCACAGGGCTCATGGAGAACTCGGCCTGGAACTGCTGAGCTCGGTGCTTTGATCTCAGAAACAGGAGGGGATAGGCTGCCCCCTCCTTGGACAGAAGGAATGTCTCCCTCGGGCTCTGTGACTGACACAGCAAGGTCATGTTCACTCCTGAGGCCAAACTGGGGCCTGGCTGCACCGAGAGGGAGGGTGTGTCAGACAGCCATCCTTGAGAGAGGGAGGGAGGGTGAGGGATGCCTGCCCACCTTGTTCTGACCTGAGAGTCACCAGGACTCTCTCTGAGGACCCTCCTCTCTGTCTCTGTATCTCTGAGTCTCCACCTATCCCCTCCCACCCACTGTCTCTCTCTGTCTCTCTCCGATCCCTGGGAGACTCACGCTGTGGATGTGGGCCCTGGGGGTGAGGTCCTGGGGCCTCCAGAGGGTCCTGGAAATGAGGACAGGAAGAGGGTGAGAGGCTTGGGCTGAGCCCGGACCCAATTTCACACAGACACTCTCTTATATCTGTGCTTTGACCCCTGAGACCCTCCCACTGCTTCAGTATCCAGGTGAGAGAAAGGGAGTGGACAGGTTGAGAGGCCTCTAAGGAAACGATCTCCTAGGGGTGACCGTCCAAGAGTCCTTCACTCCCTTTCAGCTCATAATCCGTACAGGGAGAGTTCTCTGAGTTGCCAGATCAGCAGACAGGGTCAGGAGTCCTCACCTGAGACCAGGAGCTCCAGGGGCTCACTGGGGTGTGACAGCAGGAAGGGGGAGGAACTGTGTGAGCTGTAGCACCTGTAGGTGCCTCTGTGGGCTGAGGTCACAGGACATATAGAGAACTCTGCCTGGTACTTCCCAGCTCGGTGCTCTGATCTCAGACGCAGGGGGGGATCGGCTGCTCCCTCCTTGGACAGAAGGAAAGTGTTCCTCGGGCTCTGTGACTGACACAGCAGGGTCACGTTCTCTCCTGAGGCCACCGTGGGGCCTGGCTGTACCGAGAGGGAGGGTCTGTCAGGCAGGTGTCCTAGAGAGAGGGAGGGAGGGTGAGGGCTTCCTGACCTCCTTGTTCTGCCCTGAGAGTCACCAGGCCTCTCTCTGAGGACCCTCCTCTCTGTCTCTGTTTCTCTGAGTCTCCCCCTGTACCCTCCCACCCCATCCTTCTTGTCTCTCTCCCTCCCTGGGGCTTGCACTTTCATTCTGGCCTCACCACCCGAGACCCCAGCAGGGCCTGTGCAGAGTCTGGGTCCCTGAGTTAACCCATTGGCTCCTCACCTGCCACCAGGATGTCCAGGGGGTCACTGGGGGCCGACCACTCAGAGGAGAGGTTGTATCCACCGTAGCATCTGTACCGGCCCCCGTGGGAGCTGCTCACAGTGTCCAGGGAGAAGTTGGCCTGAGCAAGCCCAGTCTGGGGCTGCAGGACAAGGCTCTGGGGGAGGTCCTGTCCCCCCTCCTTGTGCAGAGCGAATCTGTCATAGCCGACATCAGAGCGACACTGCAGGGTCAGACTCTGTCCAGAGGCCACGATGGGGCCCTGCTGGCTCAGGAGAGAGGGCTTCCCAGACTCACCTGGGGAGACCAGACATGAGTTTTAGGGGCTGCTCCTCCCATAAACACCCTTCTCCTGGGCTGGCCCCCATATCTCATTGTCTCCCTCTGTGTCTCTGGCGCAGGAGCCGCTGTGCTCCACTCACCCCACTTTTTCACATGGGGCTGCCCTCACAGCAAAGATGCCAACGACCTGGAAAGTAGCTCAGTCCATGGATAGAGCAATAATGGGACTCACCTGACACCAGGAGCTCCAGGGGGTCACTGGCTGGTGACCACACCTGAGGGCTACTCCTGTAGCATCCATAGCATCTGAATGTCCCCGTGTTGCTGGGTGTCACAGGGCCCACAAAGAACAGGGCCTGGGACCACCCACTGGTATGTCGCTGTGATTCCAGGGTCCAGGAGAGCCTGTGATCACCTTCCTTAGTCAGAATGAACCTGCCAAATCCCAGCCCTGAGCCACACTGGAGGGTCACGTTCCCTCCTGAGGTCACCACAGGGCTGGTCAGGGCTGAGAGGCTGGGTTTATTGTAGGCTCCTAGGAGAGGAGGAGGCAGCGTGTTAAATGGGCTCAAACCTCCCTCATGTCCCCCAGGGCTGGGCTGTGAAAGGGAGACACTTGAGAGCAGACCCCCTTCCTGAAGGCCCAACCTGAGGCTGGCACCCCGTAGTGTCCTCTCACCTGTCATCACCAGCTCGAGCGGGTCACTGGGTTCTGACCAGCCATCACGGCTGAGATAGTAACAGCGATATCTCCCAGCCTCATGCTCTGTCATGTGTGGGATGGAGAACATCACCTTGTCCCCAGGCTTCAGTGGCTTCTCTCTTTTCCATGGTGGTGGGCTTCCCTCTTTATCCAGACGGTACTCCTCAGCCCCTCGGCTCCCCTGACAGGAGATAGTCAGGGGCCTCCCCCGCGGGATCACTGGTCCTTGATCAGCCCAGAGTGGGGGTTTGGGGGAGGTCCCTGGAGAAAACAAGAGGCTGCATTACAAAGGTCTTCCCCACCTCATCCCACAGCTCAGCTCAAGACACTCTTATTGTATTTCATCCATCCTAGCCTCACCTCTCCTGGGGACAGGGTCCTCAATGACTGAGCTAAGAAAGCACAGGGTCAGCGGGCCCCTCACCTGAGACCAGGAGCTCCAGGGGCTCTCTGGGGAGTGACAGCAGGTAGATGGAGGAACTGTGTGAGCTGTAGCACCTGTAGGTGCCCCCGTGGGCTGAGATCACAGGGCTCATGGAGAACTCGGCCTGGAACTGCTGAGCTCGGTGCTTTGATCTCAGAAACAGGAGGGGATAGGCTGCCCCCTCCTTGGACAGAAGGAATGTCTCCCTCGGGCTCTGTGACTGACACAGCAAGGTCATGTTCACTCCTGAGGCCAAACTGGGGCCTGGCTGCACCGAGAGGGAGGGTGTGTCAGACAGCCATCCTTGAGAGAGGGAGGGAGGGTGAGGGATGCCTGCCCACCTTGTTCTGACCTGAGAGTCACCAGGACTCTCTCTGAGGACCCTCCTCTCTGTCTCTGTATCTCTGAGTCTCCACCTATCCCCTCCCACCCCCTGTCTCTCTCTGTCTCTCTCCATCCTTGGGGCCTGCACTGCCATTCTAGCATCACCCATGAGACCCCAGCAGGGCCTGTGCAGATCTACATGCCTGGCTGAATCCACTGGATCCAAACCTGCCACCAGGATGTCAAGGGCATCACTGGACCAACCACTCAAAGAAAAGGTTCTTCCTACTCTAGCATATATACCCCCCAACCCGGTCAGCCTCTCTGAGTGTCCAGGGGGAGGTGTGCCTGGGGCTGCAGGACAAGGCTCTGGGGGAGGTCCTGTTCTCCCTCCTTGTGCAGAGAGAATCTGTCATAGCCAACATCAGAG